TTTAATATTAAATAATCTAAAAAATATAATAATTACACTTTCAACACATAATTAAAAGAAGAGATTAGAAATGAAAAATTAATAATTTAGATTTTTTTTTATAATAGTAATAACCACCCTGCTGTCTTCTTCTTCTTCTTTTTTTTTTTTTTTTGACAAAAATAATGATTAGAAGTTAAAAATTAAAAATTAGAAGTTAAGTTAGCCACCCTACTATCTTGTGCAAACGAACATGAGAGGAGGGTATACGGCACAATACAATGTAAAATAATGAAAAATGTGATAAAAATTTAAAATTAACATTTAAAATTAATAATGTGATTTTTATTATGTTATTTAAAATATTAAAAGATAAATTTTATATTATTTAATAATTTATTTTTTATTTTTAAAATATATAATATTATACATATCAACTAATTTAATAATATAATATAAATCATATCATTAATTTTAAAATTTTTTTCCCAAAATTTCATCCTCCTATCATTACTCTATAATGTATTGTTTTCTATTTAAGGGTGCTGCAGTTTTCCTAAGCGTTTATCAATTGGATTGCCATGTCCGAATACAGCTAGATTTTTAATAAGATTTTTCTAGCATGAATGTCAAGTGTATTAATTGCATTTTTTTATAATAAGTGTTTATAAAAAAAATAATAAATATTATTTATAATATTGGTATCATGTGAATGATTTTAATTTAATAATTTATAAATTTAAAATTAATTTTTATTTTGTATATAAATTAATTGTAAAAATATATGATTAATGCATTTTTAAAGTTATGGATTAAAAATATAATAAATATATTTTTTTTCTCAAAAATTATATTGAAAAAATAAATATTAGCTTTCATTTTATCAATTGTCAAATTAAATTTATCAATGTGATAATAATACTAAAATTAATGTAATCTTTTACATTCTTTTATATAAATTAAAATATCCATTAGTAAAGCGCTTTAATATTTATCAATGGACAATTACAAAGGTATTTCTTGGACCGTATTTTTATCCTATGTCTTGGTACAGGTAAGAAGTGTTTCATTATACTTTTACTTAATTTGTATAGAAAGTATATAAATTATTTTTAATTTAATTAATTAACTAATTAAAATTATTGTGACAATAATATTAAAATAAGTG